GAAGTTACCGGAGCTTCTTATTGTTCCGGTCTCAGAAAATTATATGGAAGATGTTATATCTTTTTTTCCTGTCCCTACAAATTCTTTCACTCTTATATAAAATATTGATATCAATAAAAAAAGAATGAAAAGAAAAACTCAATCTCAATTAACTTTCCTAATTTTTACTCTTTCTTGCATATTTAAATACAAAATGAATAGAATCAAAGGTGGGATCCCATGTTTCCTAAATATGGTTCCAACACATACCATTATCCAATAATTTTGAGCTTGCTCCTTTTGTCTAGACAAGTAACTTGGTCTGGAATGGCCATTAATCTAAAATCATAAATTACAAAACCAATAGCTTACATGCAAATGTAGCAGCGTCATCCTGCCTAAAGCTAAATTAAATTTGGCTACTAAACATTGGTCTGGAATGTATAGTTTAGGGGGCCATAAAAACATACTTGTAGCACATGGAACTCATGTCATTATATATGTCATGAACTAAAATTATATTTTTGTTCAGCCTAAAGCTCAAACCTGGGTCGCGATTAACTGAATTATGAATTTAAGACATACAAAATTATATTTTATTGGCTTAAGATAAACCCACAAACTCAAAATGGAAATCTTCAATAGAATGGTTGTCCTACAATATTAGATTAGGAGATAAATTTGATCATTCCAACAAACTCAAAATCTCTATTTAAAGGATTTTGAATGACCCAAAAGTGGATTTCCATAACTATGATCTATGTGTAGATCCATATACTAATATATGCCATCTACCATGATCATGATCAAAGTAGCAAACTTTGGAAACATATGACATGTGTTTTAATAGAACATTAGATATTAGATTATTATTAGACACTACTAAGTTACTTGTGCACGACTAGCATTGTATCGCTACGATATGGTACCGTATCGGCCGATATGGACCGATATGCGTGATACCCAGATACACATGCAACTTCCATCTTAAAAAATATTGTGTCATGCACAACTCAAACTCAGGCCTACTCGCAACTTAAGATGCTTAGCGATTTAAACCACTAAGCCATCTTTTAATTTATGATAATAAATGAAATACAATTATTGTTATTATCTTTATTGTAAAATATAATCTGAATAAATGTCATACCTTTATATTAAACAGTACCAACATAAAATTAAATAGAATAATATTAAATTTTAATATTTATAAATATAAATAAAATAAATAATCTACCAATTCTATATTTATATCAAAAATTGATTTTTTACTCAACAAATTTATACAAATAAAAAGATTAATAATAGAATAATTATTTTAGTACTTCAAAATCATATATTATATAATTTTAATATATTTTTTAAAATTATTAATTGATATTTTAATTTACACTAAATAATAACATATTTTATTATTTATAAAAATAAAAATTTTGTTTAAAAAATATCCAAGCATATAATATTATATTGAATCTATTAAATACACTACTTTAAATTTATATAAAAATTATTTATTATTTCAAAAAATTATTGAAATAAGTGTTAATAATGGAATAATCATTTTAGTAATTAAAAATTATGAATTTGCAATATTATATGCTTTTAAAAATTTTAATATATACATATGAAATATTTTAATTTAACATTATATATTTTATAAATTATCAATTGATATTTTGATTTACATTTTATAATAACATATTTATTATTTACAAAAATAAAAGTATTGTTTATCAAACATTTCAAATTTTAATATTTAGTTGACTTTTTTTCTATTAATTGAAAAGTAAAAATATTAAAATGAAAAATAATTAATATAGTAATTAAAATATAATATTATTTGTTTGTATCTTGGAATTAAATAGAATAAATATAATAATAGTTTTATGCATGCGTTAATTTGTAAAGATCTATATAATATGAGTCTTAGACTCCTAATTGATAGATTATCAATAAAGTTGTATGATATCTATGCATCCCATAATATTAATTATAATATATTCCTTTATATATATATATATACAATTAAAATATACATTTCTTATTTTTTATATCTTATTTGTAACTATTTTGACCTTAAAATTAGTGTAGTTGATGTATTTATGAAATTTGTATCTATTTTCTTAATGTATCCATATGTTTTCATATCTTTCTTTTGTATCCATGCATTTTCAAAGCGTATCTGTATCCAGATCCGTATCCGTATCCAAGTTGTTTGATACGATACCTGATACCGATACTGTGATCCTTGTGTATAACTAAAAAAAAAAAATACTACATAGTCTAATCTATCCATATGTTACACCAGAGCATACATAACCAACTCTATAGGTCCATACAATTTGTATAGAGATGGATTTACCGAAATATAATAATCAATAGTGTGACTTTTACTTTTATTACACATCCATTTGTATATCTTCTTCCTTTTTTCAAAGGAATTCCTAATTGGATGCAGAATTCTGGTAGGCTAAACATTGCTTGTTGTTCACCCCATTAATATAATTACTTCCTGGTTATTAGTTTTTGGTTTCCCTATTTTGTGTTTCTTTTATTTGAATCAGGAAATAGAGAAAAGAGAAATAAACAGAAAACAACTAATGTATATGAGTATCTATTATAAGTAACAACATATAAGATCATAATATGTTCCCCTTTGATGCATACAAAAACATAGATGTATCTTTGTCTAGAAAGATAATAAAGAGGATATATAATGAGTCACCATTTTAATCGCTGACAATGAATGAGAGAAGAGTAAGAGAGTTAAAAAAAAAAGTTCTAAAGACAGGTTCATTATCATTCTTGTAAATTAAAGAGAGGTATACAAATTTATACAAATTATAGGGAGTAACAAATAAAATAAATTAAGAAATACAGAGATGGAAAGGAGAAAGAAGCCTTCTTAGTTGATTAGGTGGTGCCTTCATTCAATGTGAGCTCACATCATTTGAATTAGAAGAACTTCATGAAGTAACAGTTGGATATTGTCGATGCCGCAAATACAAAACAAAATTCTTAAATGAATGTAAACAAAATATCTATATGCTCTACAGATATAAACAAAACCTCCAAAGAAAATGATAAATCTTACTTTAAAAATAGATTATCCAAAACAAAAAATAACAAAATGAAAAATTTTAAAACATGATGTGATTATGAAGAGGAAATAGATAAAAATTTAGGACTAAAAGACCAAAACAACCAACCAAAACATTCCACTTACGACTCAATTAATCTACAGTTAAAACATCATCCTTATATAACTTGCATTTTCTCTCCCTCATCCCTCTTATGAATCTAAAACCCAACATACCAAAATGACAAATCCATAATACAAATTCCAAAACTTGCTAGTCCAATACGAAGTTGTTGACATACAAATGCCTTTGTCATGACAGTATCACAACTTGCATCAGATGACTGAAAAGCACCAGGGCTTTCGACTCAAAGAACCTCCCATGTTTCTCTAAATGGTGGAAAAGCTTGCCACCATCACAAAGAAGAAGATAAGGCAGAGCCCCTATTTCAGCCTCAAGTAAGAAGCAGAAAGAGTAGGAAATAAAGAAAAAAAATAAAAACATGCCTCTGCAATAGAAAAATAACAAAAAAGCAACAACAAAATTTTGACAGGCCGAAATTGTAATCCTCACATAGAATTGAAAATCCAAAACCTAAAGGTAGAATCAAGACTTTGTATTCATTGATTTAGCAAGACTTTTGAAGAGGAACCTAGACGAAGCTACGAAACAAAAACAATTTAGAACAGGGGTTAGGAGAAAGCAATTTGAATTTTTCATCTCCACTATATGCATTCTCAGTAGAGTTTCTTTGATTCATAGAGAGAGAGAGAGAATGAAATAAATAACCTAACTTATTAATTGGATAAATTTCACTCAATTAGTTGGATGATTACCATTGAACCATTTTTTGAAATACAATGCTGATTGTAAACCGGACAACTACAAGCAGAACACCCAATCTGACCAAGTCTGACCAATTTCAATGTGTTTCTCTTTCAGGCCATTAAGCTGCTCACAAAGTTCATCCAGCTAATGCTGCATGCTGGATAGAACTTCATTTTTGAAAAACCAGATGAAACATCAAAGTGGGACGTCAGAGCTCTTTGTTTCTAGAATAAAATCCAGAAAAGCAAACCGGAACATCTCCACCACCAAACCCAAACACCACTAAACCTATAGCAACAAACCAAAAAGGAACGAGAAAAAATATGAAAAAAAAAACAAAACAAAATAGAGCTTCAGTTGAAAACATGGGTCGCAACCATCTCGAAAACCTACATACCATGACTAATAAATCAAGATAAGGTGAAAAGAGACCATGAGAAGGCCGACAAATACAGAGGTGGGGAGATAGATAAGAGAGTTTTTTGAAAGCGAGAGAAAGATCGTGATGAGATTGAGAAGAGAACAATGACATGGGTGAGAGAGGCGAGAGACAGAAGAGCTGAGTAGACAGTAGACAATAGGCAATAGATTGAGCTATTCGAATTGCCTTGTACAATAGAAGTTGGTCCTCAATGGACATCTTTGTCTCTCAATGCCATGACTAATTATTTGTGATTAAAGGCCATGACATAGAATTATACTTGTGGTTGTCTCAACTGATTTTTCATCTCTGGTAAAATCCTACTCAATCAAAAAGGAAAATAAATTATTAAAAGAGCCAATAAATAGAAACAAAAAAAGGAAAAATAAATAAAATTAGTGTAGTTCTTGCTTTTTGATAAAGGAAATAGATAATCAAACAAATAAATAGAAAGAGAAAATGAGGAAATGAGATTTGATCAAGCAGAACCTGTAGATTCTTACAATTAGATTGGTTTCAACCCAAACCCAGTCCATTGACACATATATTCTTATCTTATATCAATGGACCAGATATTGGCTTAATTCAACCCAATCCAATATAAATTTGTTACGGATGGACCAGGTCCAATCCAATCTAATAAATATTTTGGACCGGATTGGTCCAATCCAACATGTCTTGTTGGTCTGCCCAATCCATCCAAATTGATTTTGGACTGGAGGGGGTCCAATCCAAAACCGGTCCATTAACACCCTTACGTACAGGACATCACACATCACTTACTCTTTAAAGTTTCACCGACAAACTTTGCATTTACTCTTCAGAGTAACATCATGTCTCCATACAAATGTTTCTGCACATGTTGACATGAAAAAAGAAAATAAAATAAATCACAACCTGCTAGACCTGCTCAGTTTATCATGCATCTACATGTAAACACACCCTTATGAATACATATGCATTCAAATGAAAGAAATAAACATAATACCATGAGGTGATACTCAAAATGCTAGTAGTATATTGTATACAAATGACAAACCAAACACTTTTTGTTCATTTCCATTTTAAAGATCCTTGGTGTACATAGACTACAAGAGAGAAATGCCTCAAAGCACCTATAATAAGGATAGAAAGTTCACTTAGCATACCTATCATCCATTGGTACCATCAGCATTTGTATCAACATGCTTCTGAAAATGGTAAACCAAATGTGCAAGTATATAAAATTCACAAAGAGATATTCCCAATGTGCAATTGGATGCATATGCTTTTAAGAGTGCATGTAGAGTTTATACTTTCGTGAAATCCCAGTTACCCTTAACCCCCCTTAAATTAATATGTAATACCTGTTGCTGAGGTAGAGAGGGCCCATTAAGCCCCTTAAATTAATATATAAGCATCTTTCTTTGGGTCTACCTTCTGCCTCCCAAATAGTGGTTTTTGGGTGGTCTCACCTTGAAGTCAAAACATAAATGAAAGGGTGAGAGCATATTCAGATAAAATAATCTAAGTAGAAAGGAACCTTTAATTTGATCACTTTTTTTGGCAATTTAATCATATAGGATCACAAAAAATTGCAACCCAGAAAAGGATCCATGAAAATCAATACCAATTCTATTTTCAACTTGGACATAAAATGAAGAATTTAACTATTCTAGAATTTGGAAGTGACCTAATTTTGGGTAATTGTGATAAATATGAAGAAAATAAGCACGTGTTTAATTAGTTTATTGAAGAAGGAAATGAGCTATGTACTGCATTACTTACCACAATGTCGTTATTGACATCCCAAAGAACAGAGAAAGCAATGCCAGTTTTAATTTTTCTCTCCATTATCAGCTCTCAAACTCTTCGCCAACATGGTATGCATTAATAAGCCCTTTTCCCAACATCCACAGGATGGGCATTGGGATTCAAGGTTGCACAACAAGAATCCATTATAGTAGTAGCTTCACTACTAGCTCAACTCTACAAAGGTCGCGAAACAATTAGTCCAGATGAAGGAATAAATTTGATAAAGCTCAAAGAAAGAGCCTTGACTCCAGATCCCAGGAAAATGGAATCCCTAGACACAAACAATAGAAGGTATCGAGTAGCAATTGAAACACCAGAGTCGTGGTTCACATAGACTTCAATGCATCGGAGGTGTAATTAGGGATCATAACTCAGATAGGAACCTTCGAAGGCCCCCATGGCACCAATAAGTAGAAAATTTGAAAAAACCAAAACCCCGAAGTAGACGAATGTTTCTCATATACATTTGGAAGAGAGACAAAAGAAATGCAGAAACTTTAGGGCTACGACTTACCTCAAAGAAGATTAAAGAATCTCTCGTTGGTGTTGTCATGCCAATTCAGAGAGGAACGAAGAGGAGCAGACTTTCTATCTCTCCCTCTCTCTCTCTTTATGTGCGTGTGTGTGCCACCATCGGCACCATGAACCACAGTAACCACTGTGTGTCACCATCAGCACCATGAATCACAGTAACCACAGTGTCAATAAAGGAACAACCAACAGACGAACTGCAAACCCTTACCAAGCACTAGATACAAAGCCATCTCTGTCAGAGAAGGAAGCCACTGCAACACCTACCAACCAACAAAAGGAAAAGAAAACAGCCAAAAAACAGAACCCATAACAGAGAAGAACTAACAAATCAACCAACAAAAGCAAAAGAAAACAACCAAAAAGCAAAAAACCATAACAGAGAAGAACTAACAAATCTGAGAAGAACAAAGAGGAGAATGAGAGTATGCATTCCAAAGAGAATAAAATAACCAAACAAAACAGAGCTTGGAACAAAGAAAACAAAAAGAACAAAGAGAAACCTACCAATAAACCCCACCCACATTGTTGATAGAAAATCCCAATCAATAATACCAACCAACTGCCCAACTGAAACACTAACACCACCAAGTCCAACCGAAATCCTTTCGTAACCAAGAGAAAGAGGAAGAGAAAGGGAGGCATAGAGAGTATTGAAGAAGGAGAGAGATGAGAGTTCGAGTGGAGGGAGATAGAATAAGAAGAATGATGGAGAATGGACAACATTTTTATAAAATAATTAAAATAAAACAACATTTTTAGAAAAATATCAGCAATGGCACTGTTCATTATCTTTCTCTGCCTTCCTTGTATTCATGCCGGCCATTTCAATGGGTCAACAGGTCCCGACAGTCTATTCATGCCAGTCATTTCAATGGGTCAACAGGTCCCGACAGTCCATTCCGTGTGCTGGAGGTTCTAGAAGTCAGAAATACGATGGGCTCTACGCGAGACTAGTTCTTCCAGCAGAAGTAGAGAAGGGCTGGCAAAAGGACCCAACCCAATCGCACCCGATGTGATCAAGCCAGACGTTACGGCACTAGGGATGAATATATTGGCTGCCTTGCCTCCTATAGTGAGCCCGACTCGGCTGAAGAGTGATAAAATAAGTGTTGAGTTCAACATAATCTCAGGGACATCCATGTCATGTCCACATGTGAGTGGCCTGGCTGCCCTCCTTAAATCTGTACACAGAGACTGGTCTCCCTCAGCGATCAAATCAGCTCTAATGACAACAGCTTATATGCTAAACAACAAATTTACTCCAATTAGAGATGTTGTCGCTGGTTCTTCTTCCTCTTCAAATTTAGCAACACCTTTTGCATTTGGATCAAGACATGTCAACCCTGAGAGAGCATCCGGTCTGGGGCTAATTTATGATATCGGTACTGAGGACTATCTGAACTACCTGTGCAGTCTAAACTACACTTCATCTTAAATGGTTGTCATAGCTCGGCGAAGTTTCACTTGTCCTCCTACTAATCAAGTTCTTCAGCCACGCGACTTGAACTACCTGTCATTCACTTTGCCTTTTGACAATGGTGCCCAGAACATTACGTTGACATACAAGAGAACGGTGACTAGCGTTGGCTTCATTCCCATGTTGGCTTCATTCCCTGCAACAAAACTCCACTAGTAAACTTGACTTCATCGGGGGTCCTTTTGCCAGCCCTTTTCAAGGATCTGCTCTACTTTTTTTGCTGGAAGAACCAGTTTGCATAGAGCCCATCGTATTTCTGACTTCTGGAACCTCCGGCACGCGGGATGGACTGTCGGGACTGTTGACCCGTTGAAATGGTTGGCATGCATACAAAGGAAGATGATGAATAGTGCCATTGCCCTTTTTTAATATTTTTTTCTAAAAAAAATTATCTTGTTTTAGTTATTTTATAAAAATATTACTTTTTATTGATATTGAGAGCAAAAAATTGACTTTTAGAAACTCAAAAAAAATATAAAGAAGTATGAATACGTGCATACAATGCAATGGAGAAGCTATAGTCTACAGTAAATGAACAATAAGATTCTATTTTCTGAAAGGGCAGGGCAATCCTTTCGCTTTAATATATATACTAGCGGAGGGGGCCTTACATTGCAGGGGCTCGCTCATAAATTATCAGGCTCGAGCTCGATTCGAATTAGAGACTTGAGCTCAATATCGATTTCGGCTCGAGTCAAAAGCTTAGAAGTTCGAGCTCGGCTACCTTTGATTGTAGGTCTCTCAAGCAGCCGATGTGCCAAATTGAGGTCTCCCTCAGCTGTTGAAGTGTTGAGCTGAGGTTTCCCTAGTAGGCGAGATGTCGAGCTAAGGTCTCCCTTAGTTGACAAGGTGTTGAGTTGAGGTCTCCCTCAGTTGTTGAGGTGCTGAGCCAAGATCTCCCTCAGTGACCGAGGTGCCAATCCAAGGTCTCTCTCAGTGGTCAAGGTTTCGTCTAGCTTGAACTCGTTCGAATTAGAGACTTAAAGCTTGAGCTCAGAAGTTCAAGCTCAGCTCGGCTCGGCTCGAACTCGACTACCTTTGATTGCAGGTCCCTTAGCAGCCGCGATGCCAAGCTAAGGTCTCTCTCAATTGGAGAGAGTGTGGCGTTCTTGTAATTTATAAGGAGAGAGAGAGAGAGATGACATTCTTGTAATTTGTAAGGGAGAGAGTTGGTTGGAGTGAGAGTGGCATTTTTGTAATTTGAAAGAAAAAAAGCAAGAAAGAGAATTGGTAGAGAGTGGCATTCTTGTAATTTCTATGAAAAAAGGCAAAAAAAATATTATTAGATTCCATTTCCCTCATCCTCAGGTCTTCTTACATACACATTTAAGTGTAATATATTTACTAGCGGAGGGGGCCCTACGTTGTAGGGGCTCGTTCATAAACTATTAGGCTTGAGCTTAATTCGAATTAGAGACTTGAGCTCAGATCGAGTCAAAAAGCTCGGAAGTTCAAGCTTGGCTACCGTTGATTATAGGTCTCTCAAGCAACCGAGGTACTGAGCTGAGGTCTCCCTTAATTGTCAAGGTATCCCTCAGCTGTTGAAGTGTCGAGCTGTGAGAGAGAGAGAGAGAGAGAGAGAGAGAGAATTGGTATGAGAGTGGCATTCTTGTAATTTCTATAAAAAATGCAAAAAATATTGTTAGATTCCATTTCCCTCATCCTCAAGCCTTCTTACGTACACATTTCAATTTAATATATTTACTAGTGGAGGGGGCCCTGCGTTGTAGGGGCTCGCTCATAAACTATCAGGCTCGAGCTCAATTCGAATTAGAGACTTAAGGTTGAGTTTGAGCTCGGATTGAGTCAAAAGCTCGAAAATCCAAGCTCGGCTACCTTTGATTGTAAGTCTCTCAAGCAGTTGAGGTGCTGAGTTGAGGTCTCCCTCAATTGTCGATGTGCCAAATCGAGGTATCCCTCGGTTGTTGAAGTGTCGAGCTGAGAGAGAGAGAGAGAGAGAGAAAAAAAGCAAGAGAGAGAGAGAGAGAGTTGGTATGAGAGAGTGGCATTCTTGTAATTTGACAAAAGAAAGAGAGTTGGTAGAGAGTGTCATTCTTGTAATTTCTATGAAAAAAGGCAAAAAATACTATTAGATTCCATTTCCCTCATCCTTAGGCCTTCTTACATACACATTTTAGTTTAATATATTTACTAGCGGAGGGGGCCCTACATTGTAGGGGCTCGCTCATAAACTATTAGGTCGAGCTCAATTCGAATTAGAGACTTGAGCTCGAGTTTGAGATCGGATTGAGTCAAAAGCTCGAAAAGTTTGAGTGGGTTACCTTTGATTGCAGGTCTCACAAGCAGCTGAGGTGTTGAGCTGAGGTATCCCTTAATTGTCGAAGTGCCAAATCGAGCCCTCAGCTGCTGAAGTGTCGAGCTGAGAGAGAGAAAAAGATGGCAGGAGAGAGAGAGAGATGGCATTCTTGTAATTTGTAAGAAAAAGAGAGAGTGTGGCATTCTTGTAATTTTAAAGAAAATAAGCAAGAGAGAAAGAGTTAGAGTTGGTAGGAGAGAGTGGCATTTTTGTAATTTGAAAGAAAAAAAAAGCAAAAGAGATAGAATTGGTAGAGAGTGACATTCTTGTAATTCTATAAAAAAAGCAAAAAATATTGTTAGATTCTATTTACCATTTGGTATATGTGAATCTCTACTTGTGTGATGTAAAAGTTACATTTACCAAACCATCTTTTGATCTTTTCATCTTTTTGCAAGATCTTCCAAAAAAAGATTACCAATCAGTATTTGGTCCAGAAAGACCGGCTCCAAAAAGCCCATGCATGTTTTGATCTACTGGGCTGTTGAAAGATCTACCTAGAAAGACTTGCCAAACGCTAATAGAGTTAACTAGAGGTGTAAAGTGGGTCGTGTGCGGGCCGTGCCGTGCCACCCTCCCTAGTGAAAATGTTGGGGGTCGGCCCAGCATGGCCCATGGCCCAAGTCCATTCGGGCTCGTGGCATGCCACGGGCCAAGCCCATTTGGGCTCGTGCCGTGCCACGGGCCAAGCCCATTCGGGCTCGTGCTATGCCACGGGCCAAGCCCATTCGGGCTCGTGCTGTGCCACGGGCCAAGCCTTGGGCCAAGTCAGGCCATGCATCAGGCCATGCATCAGGCCAAAGCAATTTATTTAAAAAAATTGACAAAAAACTTAAAATTTTAATTTTATATGAATTTTGTGTATATAATTACTTATATATACAATAATTAAATAAACTAGTAGAATAACATTTAAAAAATTATTTATTCTATTAATATATTATATACAATATATTATTATATAGTTATTATTTATACAATATTATATAAATATATATAAAAAATAATATATATGGATCATGCTGGGCCAGGCTGTGGGCTGGGCTGTGCCGGTGCGCGGGCTGCAGGTGGCATGGCCCGCTCGGTCGTGCCGTACTATACCGGCCCGTAGACCTAAACCCCAAGCCCAGCACGGTACGGACCATCGTGCTGGGCCTGGCACGGTCCGTGGGCTATCGTGCCGTGCCGGGCCCGTTCAAATTCGTGCCGGCCCGATTTACACCTCTAGAGTTAACCTGCCTTCTTGTCTTTTTAGGGTTTTCCGACATCGTTGCAACCCAGGTCGAACTGTGCTTCTGTTCTCAACTGCAAACAATGGAGTCCAATGGCGGAGATGCTTTCAGAATACTTGAAGAGATTGAAACGTTGAAGGCTGCAAAGAGCGATATAGAACATCGTATAGCAAACTTACAGGTTCAGATTGGTGGGGTTGCTGTGGAGGAGATGACCGATTCTATTTTATGTCCTCCCATATCAACTAATGATGCAGGGTTCGGGCATGGATTGTCTCCTGAGATGGTCTACCGATATAGTCGACAACTATTACTTCCATCATTTGGAGTAAAAGGTTTGGTTGTTCAAACCTTGTTGACTGTTTTACTCAACTGATTTCAATTGGGATTACAAACTCCCAAGGCCAAGGCTTCAGTATCATGAGATAATAGATTTTGAAAGGTCTTCAGTTTGTTGGATTTAGAGATGCTTTTCACTTTGATTTTGCTGGTTTTTAGTTATAGTTACTTGCAAAACATGGGTTTAAGCAGCCATGGATGCATTATAGATTTCCTCAAAGTGGAGAATATTTTAAAAGCTACTACAATGTTCTTATAGAAATTCAGATTACTTTCAGTTCATTGACAGTTTGTAGTAAATTTTTAGATTTTGAATGCCTTTCCTTTCACAGGGAATGCATTTCCTCATTTTCTTTATAGTCTTATTGCTTAAAATTAAATAACAAAAATGAATCTCTTATGTTGATTGCGAAGCCTTTTATTTTTTTTTCTAGCAAATGTTTATAGCTTTAGACCCTATGGATAGATTTAGGGGGTGTTCTACAACATGAATGTCTTACAAATTGCTTTTGTTTCAAAAAAAAAAAAATCTTGTTTTTGAAACCATCAAAACGATGACTTTTACAACAAAAACAAATTTTGTAGTACCAATATTATATGATTTATGAAGCATGATATTAAGTAACCAGGTAAAGACATGTTCAGATGTCCTTTAAACCAGAAATTGAACAACATGTTTTTTAGAACCAATTTGTTTTCAAATCAAATTGTTTTGATTTGTTTTTGGAGCTCACAACAATAAAAACAATTCACGGTTGAGAACACCATCTTAGTTGTTCCACATCTGTCAATTATAGCACGGTATTTTATTAATTGCTTGTTTAATTGTAGGACAGTCAAATCTCTTAAAGTCATCAATTTTGGTGGTTGGTGCTGGAGGGTTGGGCTCACCTGCTTTGTTGTATCTTGCAGCTTGTGGCGTTGGTAACTTCTTTTGATCTTTAAAAAAGTCCAAAATTTAAATATGTTGGCGATGATCTGATCATCTCTAATAAGTCTTGTTTTTTAGGTATTTCAGTGTTTTAGATCAAGTTTGATGCCTATTTATAAACTTGCTTGCATCATCTTTCAATTTTAGACATTGCTAGTGAATTAGGTTAGCTGCATAATGCACCAAAGTCCCTGTGAGTTTTCAAAATTTCATGAGTGAATGAGTTTTCTAAGTCCCAGCTAGATGCATAATGAAAAGATTTCGTTCTATCCATTTATGTGTTGCTGTAGCAAGAAGATTCTTCATTGTTCTTTTTTCCTATTTCTGGAACTAACTGTTCTTGTTATTCTCTGCCCAGGCCGTTTAGGTATTGTTGATCATGATGATGTTGAGCTTAATAATATGCATCGGCAGGTAAATATCTCAAACAATATTCTGCTGAGTTGGCCCCGGTCAAACCCTTCTGGCACAAAGCCTCTTGACTTGGCCAGAAAAATTAGTTGAGGTTGGGTTGAATTGATGCCTTAGGCAACTTGATCTGACCCTTGTCTTTGAACACAGCTCTTGCTATCATAGGGGTTGCTTAGTAACATAAGTTATTGTATTTGTAATCCAGATTATCCGTTTGAGATGATTGTGATAATGAAACCTGATTTTTTTTTCTAATCTTTGTCTGTAATCTAGATTATCCACACTGAGGCGTATATTGGTCAGTCAAAAGTGAAATCTGCTGCTGCAGCTTGCCGCGCGTATGGGTTTCCTTTTTGCATCTATGAAACAATTATTCTTAAGCTGCAAAAGCACTATGTTCCTGAGTACTGACAGAGGATGGATAGTAGATTTTATTTTTCCACCATTATTAATATCTTGGAATTGTACATACCATTGATTTTAGGTATCTTTGTCTAAAGAAGGTTTTCTAACTTCAGGATCAACTCCACTATTGATATAGTGGAACACAGAGAAGCTCTGCGGACATCCAATGCCCTGGAAATTGTGAGAAAGTATCCTTTATAGAGATGTATAGATGCTAGATGTTCTATGTGCAATATCTTTTTCCTCTTTTTTGATTTTTTTTTTCTTTTCAACAAACTTCAATATTTTAATTTCCATGACTGCTAACATTTCCTAGATATGATATAGTGATAGATGCAACAGACAATCTTCCAAGCCGGTACATGATCAGTGATTGCTGTGTTGTCCTGGGAAAGGTGATCTAGTTTTGTATCATGCTTACTTTGTACATATAATTGCACCGAACACATTGTAGTATGACTAAGAAGCAAACTAGAAGCAGTTCTCTGTTTGTGCATGCGAGTGTGAGAGAGAGCGAACAATTATGAGAAAACACAATTTATAAGGTTTTTGTTTCATTTGCTTTTTTCCTACTTACAGAGTTAATAAAGTTTGCTATAGTGATTTGTCCTGTAAGAATTATGATTTGTCCTGTAACCTTTCCTGTATTTGTTATTGCAGCCTCTTGTATCTGGTGCTGCACTGGGATTAGAAGGGCAGGTACATTATTTGGCAGTTTGTTAAGTCAGGGAGGTTCTTTAGTGTGAATATTTTTTTTATTATATTTGAATATTTTACTAATGATGTTATAGTTTCTCAGTTTTAGAACTAGTTAAGCCCTATGCTTGGAAAACTTTTGTTATTTTTCCTGATAGTTTACACACTAGACATAGTTGTCCACTATAATGTGTGTAGGCAAAGGGTGGTGTTTAGAGTTTGAAGAGGAAAAAGATGGAAAGCATTATTTTTTTTGAAGATTAAATAAAAATGTTATTAAAAGAATAAGAAATACAACAATCCAATATAGTGATAAGGAATCACCATACAACAACACAAAAAGGCCACATACTTAAAGAACAAAACCAGAACCATGCCAGCCCAACCCGTGCAAAACCCCAACAACACAAAACTTAATCAGAAGAAAATCCTCGGCCCACAATTTGAGCAGTTGAGCCTTTGTGCAACTTGCACTACAAAAACCAGGCTATAAACTTCCAGAACTGGAAAAGGCTGGCATAAAGTGCAACCTCGAAGGCAACAAAAACAAAATCCCCCATCAAACCCGAGATTTCTGCAACTTCTCAAAAGCTTCCCCCCTCACCAAACACTGCTTTGCAACTCCCCCATCATGCGTCATCCACTATTCCTTCCTCCCAAGCCTTCCCCCCTTCCCCCAAGATTTTTGGTTTGTTTGCCTCTTCCCTTCTGTTTCTTTCAAAATTTTCAATTGGTTTTCTAACAACCACTCACCCCCCTCCAAAAAAAAAAAAAAGAATAATCCAAGAGACATCCCAATTTCCACCTGTCTATCCACTAGTCTATCAATACCCACTCTTTTTGGGGATGCCATCCTTAGAAGACTCTTCATTTCCACTTCCCCCCAACTTCTTCCCCCTCACTCTCCTTTCCGCTTGTTCCTCAGGCTGAGATTCTACTGCTTCCTTATTTTCCACCCCTCCCGTTCTTTCAACCTTCCCCCCTCCCTCCATTGTCTCCTTTTCAATGGCCTCCTTCTCATTTAAGTTGTCCTTACCTTCTCATCAGTGACCTCTAACCCATTTCTTTCCCTCTTTTTCCTTGAGGACTCCTCATCTTTTTTAATGGATGGAAAAGAATCTGACATCATGCCTGCTGGGTCTAACTCTATAGATGTTACCTTATCTCTGTCTTTCAATAAGGATTGACCTTTAGCCTTAATTTTCACACCTTTTCTTTTGTAAATTCTCTTGAATCTGCAGCAGGGGCCATCCCCAACTAGCCCTTCCTTAAGCCTGTGAAAAACTTTGGTCACATGAACCAACTGCCTGTTTCCCGACCCTTTGGATTTTCTGAGCTCCCCTGTTTTAAATGTATCGTTATCAGGATTCTCCAAAGCTCCTCCAGCCCTTCTCCTACCTAGATCCACCCCCAATTTACCTACTAAAACCGATTTTGTCATGACTTCCTCCTCATACAACAGATCCAATTCCACTGCATTTGTTTCTCCCTGGGCACCAGGTCCAACTCCCTACTATCAGTCTTTCTTGGACTTACCTCGCTCTTGGACACATTGTCTAGAGCAATTGCTCCATCCCCTTCAATCTTGGCTAGATCCGTAGACTTAACTGTCATTGAGTCTCTATGGTTCTCTACTGTGACCCTATCTTGCATGATACCATTAGATGAATCCAGCAAAAGCACTTGAGATTCCTCCGGACACGAACCTGATCCTGATTCAAGCTTCGAGCTTCTCAGGCATTTTGGCAAGCTTGTTTCTCCAAAATGGATAAACCTTGTAGTCACTCGCTCCCAAACCTCTCTCTTCCTCTTTCCCACTCCGTGGAAGTTTTGAGACTCGATTTTAAAACCCGTTGATTTTTTTGCCTTCAAACGATTTAACTCACTAGCCATCCCCCACCTTATTCTACATGAACCAACTCCTGCCAAGTTTCTTCGTTGTCTCAAGCGATTCAAGAGGAGACCTGTTCATGACTTCAGGGACGATGATGAACGTAAGTTACTGTCCCTAATTGCCTTATTCTTTAACAGCATGTGACCGAGAGGCTCAGCAGGAAAAATGACCGACTTGGGCCAGCACCTTTTGAGCTGTGCCCACTCGACCCAACTTGGCTCTTTGAGCTACTGAGCCCACCTGACCCAAGCTTCTCACTGAAATAAGTCGTCTGTTTGGCACTTGTCCCTTTTGCATCTTTGTCTCTCTCAATTACCTCGGTGCCCCTTGGAAGAAGCACCCATTTGTTTGCCTCTTTTAAAATAATTTAAATTACTTTCATTTTTTGTTAACCTCTTTTTTGACCCAGAACAATAGACTGTTCATCTTCCGAGACTGATGCTTCCTTTCTACTCCCCCTTCCATTCTCCTCCTGCCACCTGTGGACTGCTGAGTCAGCTCATCATCTTTTTCAACCTTGGAGTAGCCGTTCCATGGTGCCGCTTCACCTTCTGTAGCGAACCAAACCTTCCTCCATTGCCCTTCAACCCACAGGTCACAGGAACGAGGGGTACACTCCGGTTTCACTCCAGTCATTTTGGCCTTCACAGCATGCAAATAGTCGAAGTAGTAATCCTCCCACAATGCACCTATTTGCAGACACTATTATCTTTATTGAATCCCCTTTCCACAAATTGAATGGCAATCCTACCAGCTTAACAGCAAAGCTTGCCTCTGTAAAACTTTCTCATTGCAGGACATCTTCCATTTTTCAATCAACACTGAACCTGCATCAGTTCTAACTGATGAAACTTTCACTGCTTCACCTTCTACGTCAACAATAGCCTTATTATTGATAAAAGGTAACAAAGCGACACTATTTTTGATCCCCAATTCTTCAACTACAGAGTTCAGGATTGGTTTCCAGTCTCTCATTTCCTCCTTTGCTGTAATAACATACCTCTTCTCCCAGTCACCATTTTCTACCTCCATTAACAATTTTGGCACACAGAGTGAGCTGGCAATGAGAAGTGTCCCCTGATTCTTCTGATGGTCATCTTGGGTATTTGCTGCATCCCTGTTGGAATCTGAGCTCTCCTCCGTTTCGGCAAGGCGATCATCTTCTGTAAAATTTTCCATCATCTTCTCTCAGAGATTCTGAGGCGATGAAACAGAGATACTTCTGCATTTGTTCAGAGATCATCTTCCAAGTTCCAACCTCTGCTTCCCTTTCCTTCTGGCAAACAAATCATCTGCCTACATTCTTCTTCAGAAAACTCTGTTACTGTTACATACCGACCTTTCCCATTCCACTGCAACACTGTCAGTCTTGTACTGTCTATCTACTAAGCTCAGGGAACTTCTCCACCCTATCCTTCAGTTAAATGAATCATAACTTTCCTTTCCTCCCTAACCTTCAGATACCGTCGATCCTGACATCTACAATCCTCTAGAATCAAGTTTTTTGCTTCAATCTGCAAGGACCTTTTCCAAATCGTTGTCTCCATCCTCAGGCTTCTTCTAAAATTTGTTCCTTGGAAAACATTATAAATGATGACATTCTTTTATTTTTTTGGGGGGGGGATGTAAAATATAAACGATAGCATTCAATGTGACGCTTATTTTGGATGCAAAATCATGACACAAACTTATGACAATGATCAACTAATATACTAATAAAGAACATGGTACTTAGTATGGTATTTTGGATGGGAAGAAATGTCCTTGAGAAATCAGGATGCAACTGAATGCCTCTTGTTGCTTCTTCTATAAGGTAATTAGATATTTATCCTGTTCTATATTTCTGTACTATGTCATCTATTTGTTAGTGTTTTGAGCAACACCTTAATATAACTGTCTCATCAAATTATTGGTACAGCTCACTGTTTACAATCATATTGGAAGTCCATGTTACCGATGCTTATTTCCAACCCCACCACCTACATCTGCATGTCAAAGATGCTCTGACAGTGGAGTTCTAGGAGTAGGTGAGTACTGGTTTGTGTTATGTTATAGTTCATTGATTTTAAATGTAGAACTTAATCCTCAAGGACCTAGAATGTAAAAACTGTAGCTTACAAGGTGAATCCTTTCCTTATTTTTATTCCTCTGTCCCACCCAATCAAATTTTCTTTGCTTAACAGGTTAACATTTCAATAAGCTGATAGAGAATGAAAATTGACATGACATGACATGACAAGATAAAGAATAGTGACACAACCACATAACCAATCTAATTATCATGGCTTCTATTAAACATAAATGAAAAATTATGCAAATGATGCATTTAATCATTTAAAGGTATCAATTCCTCAAAATTATGATGCAAATCTGTGCAACAGTATGGTATTCATCAAGTGTAGGAAGCTTCAAGCATATTAACAGGCTTAAGTTATAGCTATTTCTCATCCAACTTGAGACCCCTTCACACTAACTAGATTTTGGAGAGCTTTCTAGTATTGCTATTGCTTTGACTTCTATATTTTTATTTTCATTCTTAAAAGCATTATATTATTCCCCATGTTTCATTTGTAGTTCCGGGTGTCATTGGCTGCCTCCAAGCTTTGGAGGCTATAAAGATTGCGAGTGCTATTGGTGAACCCCTTTCAGGACGAATGCTACTTTTTGATGCTTTGTCAGCACGGATTCGTATTGTATGTTCTTTTTAATCTTTTCTCTCCAATCACTTTGTTTTGTGTATTCACATACCTATTTTTCTATCTGAACTTTGTTTTATGTGCATTAACTACCCACTTTGTCATGCATGATGAAATTGTTGACTTAATATGAACCTAATACTAGGACTGATCATGGGTCAAGCTAGGCTTAGCACCAATGTCAAGGGTTTTACCCCAGTTCCAGGGCCCTGGCCCAGCTTGTACCCCGGACCTTCATTCTAATACTTTAGGCAATTTTGGGACATGATTCATGAGACAATACTGGCTATTGAGTTGTCTCCCCTTGTATGGATGAAGCCCTTGCCGCCATTCTACTACTTGGGCGGTGTGGGACTTGGGCGAAACTCAGCAGTTATCATATTCAATTTAAGACAAAGCAAAAAGTTATTTGTTTTTTTAATATTAAAGGCAAATGAATTTCCCATGTCTAGGTCTAGATTGTCAATGAGCTTTCTAATCATCTCATTGATTTATAAAGGTGCTGTCATACATTTACCTCCTGAGGGTGGGCCTTGGCACAATGGTTGCAGTGCTCCATTGCAACCTGGGTGACCAGGGTTCATACATTTACCTCTCTGTACATGCAGGGGTAAGGCTGTGTACATCTGTCCCTCCCCAGACCGTGCATTGGCGAGGCGCCACGACCTCATGCACTGGGCACACATTTACCTCATACAGTTGAATTGCTTTCTACTTTTCAACTTTCATGGCATAATTCTCAAGAGAAAAAGAAGTTCGGTTATGTGTAAATAGTGATCTTAATGTGACCATCATCAAACTATATTAGTTTTCTATTCTCAGATGGTTGAAGCCAATCTGAATTCCCTGCTCTTCTATGCCCAGACATCTACTAGTACTTTTTGAGAAGCACATTTTTTTTTTTTGTTCCATGATCCATCTATTGTCACTCCAAAATATTGCAGTTTCCTTGACATTGTGATGCACTAACTAGGTCAAGATAAGAGGAAGGTCTTTGCATTGTGAAGTTTGTGGAGAGAATGCAGCATTCACGGAGCAGATGTTCCAGGATTTTGACTATGAGAAGTTTACTCAATCTCCATTGACTCCGGTAAGTTTCTTTCTCTCCCCTCCCCACAATTACATTTGTCTTTGCTATTCTATTACCTTGCCTCTTTTTTTTTTTTTTTATAACTATGGACATTATCATTAATAAGCAAAACACAAACAATATGAGATTTTGATTATGGAGAAGCAAAGGATCTCTCTTGCTAATCTCTTAAATGTTTAGCAGCTAGTTTTCCAATTTTGCCTTCCCTTGGTCGCAATCTTTGAATAGATGTCCCAATGAAATTCATGCTACCCAAATGACATTTAGATGCTTCTTTTGGGTAAATTATGTTGTAGTTAATTATATTCTAAGCTTCCGATGACCCAGTAGTTGGTTACTCAGCGTCCTTCCATGTATGGACTATGGAGCACAGGATGATCAATCCCGTGTAACTGCAGGCTCTCCATGGTAAGGCCAGTGGACCTCACATGCAACCTGCTCTGATCCCACCCTAATCTTTCCTCCCCTACCACGCACCCCCCGCCCCCCCCCAAAAAAAAAAAAAAAAAAAAGAAACTTCAAAGACAGTACTTTGGGTTACACATTTCTGATAATGGGCTTATGCCTATAATTCAGTGGTCTCATGAATGTTGCCTTTATTAGCTTTGACATCCTTTTCCATTCTGGGACTAATAATTAAGATGGTTTCATGGATGATTGCGGATTATCTTGCTAGAAGGGGCGTGTCATAAGTGGATGTGTACACAGGGTCTACTTAGGACTATAATAGGATGAGATTTCCTTTAACTTTCTTCTGTATTTATTATTATCATGTCTGCTCTGTCTCTGGCCATGGATAATTAACCAAACTATTCCCTAGTCTCTGGACAGACAAGTACATGTTTCGCAACTGTAGGGAACCAATCATATGACATCAGAGGAACATCAGTAGATGTGGATGTTGCTTCTAACACAAAAATGCTTGCATATCCCTACTGTGGCCTTAGACATCAATGTTGTCTCATAGTGCATATGCCTACTTTAATAAAGGTTCTTGAAAAATGTTTAGTGCTGAAAGCCTGAAATTACTGATGGAATATTCTAAACGTACACTCTTGCTTTTTTGGCCGGTCAACTAACTCAGTTTGGCCCAAGTAATCATTTTAGGCCTGAGTCCATTCAAAATTTGACAAAAGCCCAACTTGAACCCGCCCAAGTTGCACCCAGTGTTTTAAAAGCAGAAGGCGCAAAAAAAGCACAAGGGCCAATTTGCGCCTGAGTAGGGGTGTCAATAGGTCGGTTTTGGGGTGGACTCTGTCCAAATCAAAATCCATTTGGACGGACCATTAAGACATTGAATTTGGACAGACTGGACGGACCAATATAACATGGATTGGACCTTGTCCGTCCATAATGAATTTATGTTGGATTGAGCCAATATCTGGTCCATTGATAAAGATATGAACATAGGTGTCAATGGACCAGGTTTGAGTTGAAACTAATCTAAATTAACAGGAATTTGAACAGATTGGATAGTCTTTGGACCGGTCCAAAATGGTTCAAAATATTCACTGGATTGGATTGGACCAAGTCCATTTGTAATGGACTCACATTGGACTGGACTGGACTGGATTGGACCAAATCCAGTCCAATTGACACCCCTACGCCTGAGGCGCAAGGTGAGGCATGTGCCTTTTTAAGCAAGGCACAAAATTACAAAAAAAAATCTAAAAAATAAAAAAAGTCAAAAAATTAAAAAAATGCAAAAAATATTAAACATAATGTTAATAAAAAATATAAACTTAAATTTTAAAAAATCTATTATTTAAAATTAAAATACGTAAACATAACATGTAAAGCGTGTTCAAATGAAAATTTAAAAATAAAAGCAAACATATAAAGCATTTTCAAGAATGTAAAACCCACAATCTCCTTTTCTTCTTAATTGCATTGCTTCAAGTAGCTATTGTGATGTAAAACATATTGCATTCTTGATTCTATGAGTCGCCTTTGTACCACGCCCCTCGAGGCAAGCCCGAACAAGTCTATGTTAGGGTCTGAAATTCTTATTTCTCACATAAAAAATAATTATTTTATAACTTTCATTGCCTTTTAAGAAGATATTTTATTGCAATGAATGAATGGACAACATTAGCAAGTTTATGTTAGGGTCTAAAATTCTTATATCTTACATACGAATTTCAGACCCTAACATAGACTTGTTCGGACTTGCCTCGAGGGGCGTGGTTGGGGGTCTGGGGGCAGAGCCCCCGGTCCAACCATTAAGACTAAAAAGAAAGAGCAAAAAACACAAAATTTTAAAAAGGCGTGCGCCTGGGCTAAGGCGCAAGGCACATTGAAAGGGGTGCACTTAGGACCTGGGCGAGGCACATACCCCAAAAATGCGCCTCACCTGTGTGCCTAAGGTGCGCCATTTAAATCACTGGTTGCACCCCAAACTGGGGGTATTTATATGACAGGTGTCAAAAAATTCAGACTTCTTACTCAAATGTGCTCACTGGGTGTGTGCTCAGTTGACCCAGAATCTGGTGAGTGGATCTCTAATTCTTATAGCAAGAGGATGAGAAGATGAGCATTCCTCCAGTTATTGCACTGCATTTGTAGTCTCAGGCTATATTGTGGAACATAATAACAATGATATCTGAACCGCAAGTGTGATGCCCAACAAAGAGAAAAAATATCATGTGTTATGGAGTAATTGATTTGTACTTGTAATTGAATGCAGTTGCCCTTGAAATTGAAGTTGCTTCCAGAAAATGTCAGAATAAGCGCTAAAGAATATAAAGAGAGGGTTGTAAAAGGGGAGGCACATGTTTTAGTGGATGTACGTCCAGAACACCACTTCAAGATCGTTTCTCTGCCCAAGTCATTGAACATTCCATTATCAAGTTTGGAGGGTAAGTTGCCTGAAATCTCTTCTGCCTTGAAGGAAGAGGAAAAGTGTAATGGCCCCACATCTAGCCCAGGTGCCTCCCTGTATGTAATATGTAGAAGAGGTAATGATTCGCAGAGAGCTGTTCAGCTCCTCCACAAGATGGGCTTCACTTCAGCCCAGGATATCATTGGGGGTCTGGAATCCTGGGCTCGTGACGTCGATCCAAACTTCCCCATTTACTAGCAAGGGTGTTGTTTGTCATAAACATTTAATGATATTGTATTTTTTTTTGTTTTTTATTGTGCCATCTTTTTGGAAGAAAAGACCTTATTAAAGCATCTCTCTCAGTTTATGTACGCATGAATGCTAATAGAAAGTTTGAAAGGCGACTCAAAGATACCTCGTATGCTTAACTGGCCTTCATCTATGTTTGGGAGAATGGAAATAAGTGTGTTTATTATGTTTTAGTTTTTTCCCCAAGTGTTTATTCTTAAAATAAGTATTTTTGTATTGAAGTGCTAGATGAATTGCTTATCTCATAAGTGCTTATTTTGTGAAAATGACAATGATAAGCTTGACAATGCAAAAATAACGGAGTGATATATAGGGATGAGAGAATTTGGAAAAAAACAATGCAAAAGATGGCGTTAATCGAGTATTGGGTCGCTGGAGTGCCTGCTTTGCAAAAACAATGCAAAAGAGGGCATTAGAAATAAAAAAAAAAGAGAAATCAAAGGGTGAGAGGAATATGGAAAAACAAAAAAAAAAAAAAGAAAAAAATGGAATGAGAATGAAACCTGTATGCTAGGAAGTCGCTCAGGTTGTTGCCACTACAAGTATACAGACGAGTGGGAGAGAAATGATAGGGTTTCAATCGTTTTCTAATATGGGGCAATCTCTGGAAATAAATTTTATTCATTTTTTTGGGGTGCGAATTCCATCAATAAATTTTAATCATTTTAAATTTTATTAAGCAACCTAATAAGTTAAGCTTCAAAGTATTAATAAATTAAGTAAGTTAATCACTGTTTCTTAAAAAATTAATTATTGTTAACATTAATAAGAAATTTCTGTTAATAACTGTTATTTACATTTATTTTTATATTATTTAATTTTCATATATTACAAATTTACATAAATAAAACAAAATATTACTTAATTAAGAAAGTTAAATTAATTAATTAATTAAAAGATCTATGTAATTGATTAAATTTCTTGCAATCCATAATGTCATTATATTGATGTAGGTGGAATATTAAAAATAATCTAAACTTCAAGATGCAATACAACAAAATACTGACATGAAGGTTCAAAATTTCGTTACGTTTCAGCTCGTATTGACTGATATTTATTGTAGTACAGTAGTAGTGGGTCAATATTTTTTTTAAAAAAACATTTATTCTAAATATTAGATGATCTTATTTCCCACTCTCTGGAATGTTGAAAAAAATAATAATAAAATACAAGGTTCAAAATACCAATACACTCCTTCCAATGTATTTTGAACTTCGACTCCCAAAAAAATAAACATAGAATAACAGAAATATATGGCATTCAATCTAAACATCATAATAATAAACAAACAAAAATTTCTCGATAAAATAAATGTCATTGAAATACAATGATAATAGAAACCAAAATAAAATAAAAAGATAACATAAATATTCTGTTTTTAACAGATATTTTAAACTGTACTGCTAAAAGAATATTATTTCAATAAAATATATATATATTGTAATATTATCTTCAAAATTGCATAACGGGGAAGCTTTGATCTTGCATGTCCTCACCTAATTCTGCCACGTGGAGAAATTAATCACGTGGCCTATCAAGATTGTCCCTCATATAGGGACTCTGAGGTTCTAAATAGATCAATCATATCCATTCACCTGACAAGGGATTTTTACTGTTCAGTACACCCCCAATTTTTAGTTCCACCGTAGAGATGGGGCAGGTGCCAGCTCGGAATTGATGCTAATTTACAGGCGAGTATAAGTATTTTAGGTAGAGTATAATTTTGAATTGTTATAGGTTTGCAGTCAAATCAGAATTCTGAGGTGGAGCGTAGTCTAAAAAAAGAGATAATATACTGCAATCCACCTCAGAAATCTGAAATTGCAGCCCCTTCTTAAATCTATTAGTAGCCCCCCTTATAAACCGCATCCTGCCTATGAATTTAGCATCAATCCACGGGCATGATTCATCTGATTTGTATGGTGGGGGTGAGATTTCTGAGGTGGACTGAACTATAACACCCCCCCCCCAAAAAAAAAAAAAAAAAAACGAAAAGAATGATTCAGGACTTATTGGTCCATTAGGATCACAGATGTTTGATTGGACATAATTGGAATCTCATTCTCTATAGAATGGCATTCTCCCATTTTAGGGGATGACTATTCTATCCCCCTTCCTTGGGAATAAAAATCCATGTTCAAAACGGGCCTTGCATTAACTGAAGCTGATCTCAATCTAAGGCATTCCGATTCTGATTTCAACTGTAAATCAAATACAGTGCATAAAAAAAAAAAAATTGATGTGAATGAAGTTTTACATCGATTTTTTATGTTTAACTATACTCCATTCAAGCGCCAACAAAATTAGACCAAAATATTTAATTATACCGATCCAAATTTACACTGCAAACAAACGCAGCATCAAGAACCTTCCCGATCAACTTTCTTTTTATAGGGTTCAGACACCAATCCACCTCTCCCCTAGTGATTGCGACACCTACTTCCAATCCAGCAGGTCTCGGGATTTGAGACAAAGGAATGACTTTTAATATGAAACCCCTTCAATTTTGCAACGGAATGGTCTTCCACGATTCACATAACCTTGGTGCTCTGAGCCAGTCTGGTTGGTTGAAGTTAAAGCTTCGAAGTTTAGGCATGTCTATCCATGAACAAAGGCCTATCCTGCAAATTAACAAAACACAAAAACATTGTTCGTTAATCGAATAGGCTGAGGTCCCAGGAGCTGTCTGAAAGACGAAGTTAGGTTTGATAAGCAATAGCCCTGAGAGCATAACCCTTCATGTGGCAAATTCCATGCCTGAGAGCATAACCCTTCATGTGGCAATGATTCAAAAGAGCATAACCCTTGTCGCCTAATATCTTTCTTTTCGTTTATTTTCTTCTTTTTCTCTCTCTTTTTTTTTTTAATAAGCAATAGCTCTGTATTCATTCAATTCATTCATGTTATAGCAAAATGCAAGAGGTAACGGTTTAATAGATGCCAAAGAGATCAAACTATTGGCCAGTCAAGAGGGTCTTGATTGGGAAGAGTGAAAATAGAAATATGTACAGTGCAAATACAAGGTTTAGAAATACCATATACAAGGTTTTGCAATGTAGATACTTGTATTTGCACTCTTCACAAGCTGAGCCTAAGGCTCCATTTGGAAGGAGTACAAATACAAATATGTAGAGCGCAAAACCTTAGGCTCAATTTGGATGGAGTACAAATATAAATACATACAAAATAAAACAAAATATAAGGTTTTGTAATTTTTTTAAGTAGAACCTGCTTAACAAATTGTCATGGTTGACCCTTTTTCCCCAAAAATGTTCACCCATAAATTCAACTAGAGTAGATCAATGTAATTTTTTTAATAGTTCACACTAGCTGCATTTTGAAAGAACACAAACTGCCCTTGCAATCATTCATATTATTTTTGGGAAGGGTGGCTGCAATAACTCATCCACGATGCTATCTTCGATTATGCACCGTAAAGCCACTAACAAATCCACCAGTCACAGGCCTATAGTGGACTATTTTAGTAGTTGACAGAAACCTCACAAGTTGATTCTTATCAATCATCATCTGTATACTTTCGTAGAAAGCCTTTTTGAAACTAACCCAGCCAGATTAGATTATTAGAAACTAATCTGATTGAATTTTCTTCATCTCTGGTCTCCTCTAGTAATACAAGGGTTCCAATGAAAGCATTTGACTGGCACTTGACAACTTGCTTCTTTCGTGATAAATATAGAAATTGTTATATGTACAACCAGAGAGGTTCATGAGGCAGTCTACCTCAGTAGTCTTTATCTTTACCCTCCAAGAAATGCCTTCATGTGAAGGTATCTTTAATGCTATACAACCATTTAAGAACCCCTACCTTTACAGGAAACAATGAATGGATATGGAGATTTCTTGGTAATGAAAAACTGCACATAATATTTACAACTGGTTCATGGGCTGGTGTGTCTTTTAAGCCAGCTGATGTTTGTTGAGGTGGGACTGAACTAATAAAAATAGTTCTTGACCCAATCATGAATTACCCCTCAAATTTCTGGAATAGATCAGACAGCGCATGGTACAGGATGGCAGCTGCAGGGGGCCTAGGCAAAGACCCAAGAAGAATATCTGATGCATTGATGGAAGGGCTACCATAGAATCGAGAATTCTCCAGTGTGCGTGTGGTGACAATACTCCCATTCAGCGAACAACCCACAAATGCGCCTGCAAAATAACAATAATCAGATTAGACAAAGTGTGAACAAGAAAGAAATTTCTAAGATGTTTCTTACCACAGGAAATTGAAAGATGAGAAGTTACTACGGACAGGCATTTTGAAAGAGCCATAAGTTGAAATTGCGCAGAACCATATATCAGAATACATGATTGGTTGTAAAGTGACATGATGTCTAGAGTTCCTAATGAGCACCTTATAAAACAGATGTCTACAAACTGCATAATACGTACTTGTATTTGTTGTCTTCTACCAGCATGGTTCATATTTGAGATTCTTTAGAATTTAAATTGGTTTCAGCAATTTTAAGTGTGATCAAGCCAGCAAAGCTCTGTTGGTAAATACCTAGCAGTCATTAATCTTGGGTTAAGGGGACTTTATCTATTCCTACTGATTGTTTTTACATTCTAAAATGGGTATCAAGCATTCCTTACTTCCAAGGTAACAGTTAGAATTGCTATACAGATGAAGAAAAACAGTATCACTAGAAGTGAATAAATTGTCACAAAAAATAATAATTTGCAAAAGAAATGCAAGCTAATATTGGTACCAAGTCCTACCTCCTAACGAAGAATACAATCTATACCCATAACCTAACTAATGTGGTTCCTCCCAGTATCTGGTGAAAAGAAGAATTAATGAACAGAAAAATACAGATTTAATGCTACTTAATCCAGAATCATGCAAAATAAACTTAATTATTGTGAGGTGTTCATGGACCAAAAAGGGTACCTTTGCTGCAACTATATGTATAACAAGCTGCATAACCACCATCGCCAGCGCGAACATCAGCTTCAGCTGTCCGTCCAATAATGCCACATGCTGCACTCAAACCTGCTCCAACTGAGAAATGTACATTTCCACTAAAAGTCTTAACAGCATCAGTTGTCCTTAAGACAATGATGAAGTCAGTCAATTCCCCTCCAGCCTGTAATAATGAAAGAGCCCTTATTAAGCAACAACAATAATTTCCACAAGAGAGCATCAAAAGAGAAATTCTTCCATCATTCCACATTTACAAACAAATACACCAGACAAGAATAGAGAACTTCAAGCCCTTGCACATGAAAAGTGATTTTAGCAGTTGGAATTTCATAATTACTAGGAAAAAACATCAACATACATTTATATCTGTATATTTGGAAGTTAATTGGAAAAGCAATGACATTTCAGTTTATCCCCTTCAGACTCACATATGTATGTGTGGATGTGTGGTTGGACATACAGAGTTAGGACAAGGCTTAGTTGACTTCTGCTTAAAGAAAAACATAGATGTTTCTAACAGTAAGGCCCTGCTCTTTTTTACTTGCATGGGTAGTTAACCCAGGCAAGTGTTTCCCAGGTAAAACTTGCCCAGGTAAGTGAGGTTCCAGTGTTCTTGTGGGATACAAGTTACCCGGGTAAAGAGAGAGGCAGGAGGTAGAGAGTGTTATTATGCACGGGTAAGTTGCTTAACCACCTTGCAGGAGGGTATCAGTTAACCTCTGGTATCTTCGGTTACCGTGGGACCCAATATACGGCAAATGAATGCGGTGATCGTGGTCAATTTACCAGTTGGCCAACTTACCCCCCACTAAATACTGGCAAATGAACGGGGCTTAAATATCTATTTTTATTTTTCATGCCTCTCCCTCTTATTCCTCCACCTTCCCACTACACTTGAACCTCAACTGTTGAAAACCTTTTGTCAGGAATAATTGTTTAATTATGTTGAGTATACCAAATGATGTTTGACAACACTGTGAGTAATCACCTGAATCAAGTTGGTAGGTAAGCAGATTGAACACCTAGGGATTGCTTCAATGACATTCCCACTATAATTTTGTACAGTTGACATAGTACCCAAAATATAAGGAATGGTAAATGTTGGTGCCACTCCTAAATCAACTTAACCTATCAAAAAATTGGTCATACAATATTATTATTTCCCCAAAATCTACCTTGTTATGAACAAAAAGGTTGAAGACAAGGGTTGTCCCAGAATTTTTTTTCCAAAAAAAGGTGAAGTATATTCCTTTTGCAAAGCTGATTATAATGACTCCTTTGTGCAACAACTGTGCAGGAAAATACAGAAATTAAAAGAACCAGCTCTTGTGATTCTATTTTATTTACAAAAGAGAAGACTGGTGCAACTTGGTCTACAATCAATTAAGCAATTCAGAGAAAGGGATATCACCATTCCTTCCTTGCCATCATCCATGAGTATAATTGGGGTTTCTACCTCAGAGATCAATTTTTGCCTAAACATGATTAGATCTTCGGTTGATGGGATTTGGAGCAAACCAAATCAAATTACATAAGGAAGTCATTATATCAAATATACTTGAAGATATATTCTTTTTTCATAAAAAAACATAAATCCTTCCATTTCATAGCCCCACAACAGTAAGTAACTCTTAATTAAAGGTATATGAATTAAGAAACAAATGGAAAACTTTACCTGAGCTCCCCATCCAACACCAAATGAAGAAATGGCAGAAGGTGGAGACCATGAGCCATCTGCTCTACGAGCAACAACAACTCCTGTTCCAATATTATATGTAACCATCATGCCAACCTTCACAACAGTAAGTATTGCAAGGCCTTTTGCTTGTCTCAGAATAGCATCAGGAATTGACCTTTCAGGTTTCAGGGAACCCACCTAAGCAATGATATGCCCATCAGTAGTTTGTTGTCCACAGAACTTCAGGCAACTTAATGCATCAACTCTATATTGTTTAGTTACTAACAGTTCGACACAATATTATTTTAAAATATCATTGCAGTGCTTTATTGTTAAATTTGTTATGATATAAATAAAATAGTACCAAAGAAAGAATTCCAGCCTTCGTCTATTAAAAAAATCTGTAGCATCAAAGCTACCAATTAGAGCTTCATTTTCAGTATAATGGATTTCTTTCGGCTTTTTCTGACATATTAAGAAAGATCAGGAAGCTGCTCTTTTTGACATAGTGTTTGGACATTATTAAAATAAGGCTGCTTTTGAACTTTTATTTTTTTAATCATTTGTTGTTTTTGAACATTTTGTTAATAAGAAAATTACAGTCTTTTCTTTATTACCAATAACTGCAAATTCATTAGAATTAAGACAATTACAGTCTTTTCTGTAAACTTTCTCAAGGAAAGGTAACCGGATGGTGGACCAACATCCTGTGATAAAAGACCATGGAAATTATAGTCATTCTATGCACCGTATAGCATCTGCAGACTAAGCAAAAGCTTTCTACTCCCACTCTGGGAGAAGCATGCAACTGTATTGGTAAAGCATCTTAGAAAGACATCCATATTTGCATGAGGCAAATCAAAAGTATGATAACATGCAATTCATACCATAGTTTCATGCTTTAATTCCTGAACTTTTAGAATAATATTTTTGTTTAATTTACTATGCCCCATAGTTTTCAAGGTGCCAAGGCRAGGCTAGGCGATAGGGAGGTGTCTAGGCGGGCGCCTAGGCGATGGATTTTTTTTAAGTAAAAACATGTATCCTAGGATAGTTCCCTAATTTCCATAATCATATTTCCTTAATAAATATCCATAATTTTCATAAGAAAAGCCTAAACTTCATTTTAAAGTATAGAAAATCAACATATTCCAACATATTCATGAGAAGAAAAAGAAGAAAGAAAAGAAAATTTGAAAAATAAAGAGGCTGAACCCCTATTTCTGTTATAGGAAAAGAAGAAAAGAAAAGGTACACAAAATTAGTAAAGAAAGAGAAGAAAATATGTTGATTGGACAACATTTTATGTTCTATCTTACTTATTGGTTCAGGTTTTGAAGTCTTTAAGGGTTCAATACAGCATTTAGCAATGTTTGTGTTGAATAAACCCCAACAAATAAGAAAATAACAAAAAGAAATTAGCATATAAACACACAAAATGAATATTTTAGTTTAAAAATGTCTATTTTATAATTTAACCTCAAAAAATTAAGAATAAAAAAGTTTGTTATAACACTCTATAGAAAACTGCTTGGCGATTAGGCGAGGCAAGACTCCAAGGGCGCCTTGTCGCCTTGACAACTGTGCTATGCCCATTTTCATATTTCTTTTCCCTTTGTGCTTTTTTTTTGATAAATATTTTTTCCCTTTATGCTTTTTTTTGATAAATATCTTTTCTCTTTATGTTTATTGAGGATTCTCTAAGACAGGAGAAAGCATCAAGGCTAATATGCAAAATCTTGAGGTTTGGATTCTGACCTTATCATAACTCCGAAGTGTGTTTGTGGCCTTATAAATCTCATATTCCATAGATTGACCCCATGGAAAGTTTACCCAGGATCTTAATGTACTGAGGTCTGTCAGATCATGGGTTGGCAATTGTGCAGCACGACTTACTTGATCCATCAAGTATGGTTGCACAGACTCAAGCCGCACACAGCAAACATCACAAACCCGTTGTGGGTCTGCTGTACGGAACTTTGCTGGCAACAAACTCCTCCCTCGAGAGCACTCACTACAAAATATTCCACCACAAAACCGGCAATGATGCCTCGAACACATGATGGGATGGAACCGTACACCACATAGCATGCAGGCAGAAGCAGCACTGTCAGCCAACCATTTTGGGGGTTCTGCTTCAAGAATTTCTTTTGCATTACCAAAATTTGCCTCTGTCAAAGTTTGAGCCATCTCCTTCCAAGCTTGCTCCAGGAGATGGCTGGACATCCAGGAAATCTTGTATCCATAAACATCACCAGAAGCAATAGCATTTACTTTTCCTCGGGCTGCAAGTAACATCTCAAGTAGCACATCCCACATTGTCAGTTCCTTATCTTCTCCAACAAACTGATTCCAACCCATGTCTCCTTCAGGGAAGTAGCCACCATTTGATCCAAAACCTCTACTCCATTCTTCGTGTTCACTTTCTGACATTGGAGGAACTGAAACGGGTATCCAAATTCCAGTTTCTTCAGAAAGAGGTGAATCATAATAAAAATATCTATGTTGTTTCTGATGGTTAGCATCAAAATTTCTCTGCCCATGATTCTCCTCACTGGTATCTTTGGGTGCATCAGCTTCACTCTCTTCAGACTGAGTCTTTTCATTTTTGAGAGAGCCAGCAGGCATAATGGAAACTCCATCTCCAGTGTGTTTTTCAATCTCTTCAGGAACCTAAGCACCAATAAACCAATATCATCAATCAGAATGATTAGAGTCACTTTATTAGCCATAACTCCTTAGTTCCAGTACAATCACTGATGAATCAAAATTCAACAGGCGAATAAAAAAAACAAAAAGTAGATTTTGAATTCAAAAAAATTCAATTCCATGGACTAAGAATACACAAAACTAAAAAAAAAAAAAAAAAAAAAAAATCAAACTCTGTCACCGTAAGACCAAAAATTGCATCTTTCCACAAGAAATTTTTGAAAGCAGTTTCATAGGTTCCCTTTTTCTTCTTTCTTTATAGACAATTGATTGCACCCATAATTTCAGGGGGGTGGGGGGGCGCCGCACATCGGTCTATTAACAACGAACGGTTCAAATAAAGACTAATACGCTTAGTTCATTTTTTTTCAATTGAACAAAGTGAAACCACACCAGGACAGACAGACTAGATAAAGGAAGACAAGGAAAAGTCCTCTGGAGTTACTGCTTTTTGAATGGCAAAAAGGGGGGGGGGGGGAAGCGAATAAAAAGAGAAATATCAGAAGTTCTCAATCGAACTTTCCCAAAATCATCGCCTCGCAATCGTTCAAAACAATATAAACCAATTAACTTAACGAGAACGGAGTCCATCGTAAGAGGAATCTTCTTGAAGAGATTAATTACCAACTGAGAAATGGATTCTTGGGTGCCACCATGCTGTTCTCCGATTGAAAAACGAGAAATCCTAGAGTCCAGAAGATCCAATTCGTCACCTCGAATTTGGGGGTGTAGCCTGTCGTGCTCCATCGGTGATGAACTTAACAGCTTTTGATCAACAGGATTCATTCAACAAGAATCGACATGGACGACATAAAGGAAGAAAACGTGAAAGCAAAATGTTTTGCAGAGATAACGAAAGAATCAATACGCAATTACGCAGAAAGGGTAGCTGGAAGCAAAACAAGTACAAAATCGTAATTCCCACTTAAACAAACAATCCTACTTGTCTTCAGGGAGCTGGTAATTGGCTGGCGCGTAAAATTAATTAATTAACTTTTTTACTTCAAACGGTAATATGTAAATTGAGCTTGGGATTGGAATCTTTCTCCTTTTATGGGGTAATAACGTAGGATTGGAATCCACTTACACGTCATACCCCACATTATATTCGGGTAAATCCTAAGATGCCTATCGGTCGGATATCAATAGTAAACCCCGTGATTCACGCAGTATGAAGGACTAATCATTGAGGATTTGATACAGATTTATAATATAATAATTAAGGCTAGGTCTCTATCCCCTAGGTTCTATAGTATAATAATTAACAAATGTCGTTTAGTGGTTAGAAAAGGAAAAAGAGGCTTTGGGCCCACAAGACCCATTAACATGTATGGGCCCATAATCCTTCTTATATGTCATTAGAGAGAGTCCGGATGACCGGATCTACTGCCCACGCAAACTTTGCCTACGTCTCTCTACGTATAATAATTCACGGGGGTAGATTATTGTGGGTAGACGTAAGCAGAGTTTTCGTGGGCAGGTGATCCTAAGTCTATCAGTTAGTGGGGCTCTAAGCCAAAATGCAAATATTGGAACCTCTATCCCATACCCAAGGCCCTTTTATTATCAAATTAATCTAACGGGCCCATTTGGTTAATACGGAATAGGGGTCTGGAATCGGAATAGGCCATTTCAATTTCAACTGTTTGGTTGGTTAAAAGTGAAATTCCATTTTTATTTTTGGTGAAATGATTTTTTTTTCATTTGAGGGAATAATCATTTCCTCTCCTCCTTTAGAAATGAAATTCCATTCCAGCTATTTTAATTTTCATTTCAACTTTTGTCTGAATGGGAAAATAGATTATTCTAATTTCGATTTCAAGAGATCCTAATTCCAATTCCAATTCTGACTATAAATTACACAGAAAATTGTCAGTAATGCCAAATTGTCAATGCTTGTTTAATTACCTTGTATCTGATTTTGTAAAGGGAAAATTTCTTATCAGTACCCTGTATTTTGGGCCTAGTGCCACTTTGGTCCCTGAACTTTAAAATGCGACAATTCAGTACTCGAACTTTCAAAACGTGCCAATCCAATACCTACTGTTAATCAGCTGTTAAGTGACATGTGAAAAGACACAAATGCCCTTCAGATGTCATCTAACTTTCTTTGTCAACCATCAAGAACTGAACATGGATATGTTTAACTTGGACTAGAGATGTTTTAGATATTCAATAAATGTATGATCGATGAATGAAAAACAAATGAAACACATGCCCAACACTTAATAGATATATGGCGATACAGATGAGTGAATGGAACAAAAAGTGAATGAACGAGAGAAGGACATGAGATGAAACCGACTTGATAAGTTGATGAAGCAGAACCAACCTAGTTTTTGAACTCCTAAAATACCTGCTCTCCTGCCATCAATCCTCCTCTAAACAACTCCCAACAAGCCCTCGCATAATTAGCGGCTGGTTAACGGCTTGGGGTTGTTCATCATTGCTTTGGTTCAATCTTAACTCCTGAGGAAGAAGATGATGAATAGTGTTTCAAAGGGTAATTTTAACATTTTCAAAAATTTTAAATTGCACATGTCATCACGTGATATATATAATTAATGGTTGGTTAATGGTAGGTACTGAATTGGCATGTTTTGAAAGTTCAGATATTGTATTGTCGTGTTTTAAAGTTCAGGAGCCAAAGTGACTTTAAACCTAAAGTATAGGGTACTAATTGAGAATTTTCTCTTTTTTAAATATAATTTTGCCCATCCAATATCATATCATATTATAATTACTTATTTTCTCAGCTTTTTAGTCAATTAAAGTTGGTTTAAAAAAAATATAGGAAAAAAAAGGGAAAGATAAATCCCACCTTATGAGAAAAGGGTATAAAAGATTAAAAAAAGGATTACTTTAGCATAAAATAAGCGTTAGGTTCAAAGCACAGATATTTTTAACCTTGTATACAATTATTTTTTGCATAAATTTTAATTTCTAAGTAAATATAAATTTAAAACCTGTATTTTCTTTTTTTAATTTTCATTTTTCTCCTCTTCATATCTTGAATTCCTTCACCTTTTTCTACAGTGAATAACTATAATTTGGTGTATAGAATTTCAAAAACATGAAAAAGAAGGATTTGAAAACCTTCTAGATGCCTCAATCATGGAGGGCTTAACTACTATTATTGAAAAACAATAATATTGTCATCATAGGCATGATTAGAAGGTCTAGGTTGCATTTGGATAAGCTTTAGGAGTTGTGTTTGTAAAGTCCAAATTTCAGGTTTTATGCTTAATTTGTGGCTTTAAGTTGTTCTGGCTTTAGATTGTTGATATATATATATATATATATATATATATATATATATTTAAAGTAAATGCTACCAACCGTCCAAAATACTTTTTTTATTCTCAAATTTCTTTTGGACAGAAAAAAGCTTAAAAGAAAAAAATTATTTGAATAGAGCGTTAATGGCAAAATCTGAGAGATATTGGAAAAAAATATTAGAAACACAGTTTTCCTACAAAAGAAAATGCTTAAACGTCCCATGTGCTTTATTTTTTTGTATCTTCTCAAGGGTTAGACAAGAGGGGTAGTTCATCCCCCAACCCATAACCCCCCGAATCTAAGTGCAGGCGAGATTTGACCTCAAGTCTCTCTTACGACTAGCAGGAGATCTTACCAACCAACTGGTTGACACCTTGTAATGTCCCCTGTACTTTGACCTTCGTGAGAACTGCTTTTCACATTTTAAATAAATATCCAATCCAAAGCATCCCTTCCATCAATTGTCCTTATGCTCAATTTGGAGAGAATACAAACACATATAAAATAGTACAAAAAAAAATGCACAAACTATCAATTATCCTCCACTTAAAATTCAGAATATTATTAAATTCAATAATTAATACATAAAGTTTATATGTTTTCCAACCGTGTTGAATATCTCTCCCCATTAATTAGACCATTGATTCTCTCTCTTCCAATAATTCATTCCACTGATACTCTTTCCTCTCAATTGTTGCATTAAATTGCTTAAAATTGATTGATTTTTCTTTCTTTTTTTTATTAAAAATTAATAAACCAAATGCAATTTGCTTAGGGTGATCATTTCAGTTTGGCTTGGGCCTGCATTAGGCGGTTAGACCCACAAATTTGAAGGCTGAGCCTGGGCCTAATACTTCAAGCCTAGTGCAGGCCCAGCCCAGCCCACAAACAAAGTTTATAATTTAGTTAATAAAAACGATGATAGTTAAATCACCTCAACATAATGCTTGAGTTGGTCATAGGGGATTCTTTTTGCTTCAATTTCACTTAACAAAGCCTATGCATTGCAAAGGTCTTGACTAAGAATCTATACACACTCACAAAAATTAACAAGGGAGGAAGAGTTTTTTCTCCTTTTTTGGATTTTTGATTTTTTTATTCTATGCCATTTTACAAAAATGACCAATCATGAGCGAGTCCACCAATTAATGACATTCCAATAGTTTGAGTGCCAAGAGTAATCATCCTCCTAATGTTTGTTGGAGAGAGAGAGAGAAAGTATTTTACTCTCATTCAAGTTCCATTTTTCAAACTTTTACCTAACAATTATTAAAAGCTAAGAAATTAATAAAAATTAGTAGCTCATAAATTAAAAATCAAAATATATTTGAACTTCATTAAAAAATAACTATTAATAGAAAAATTAAAATCAATAATGAAAAGCAAAAAAATATTATAATTAATAAAAACAAACCAATTGGAAATGTCATAAGGCTTAGATCAGCTCAGCCAAACCTGCAATTATTTTCTTTTAGGCTAGGTAGCTTGGATTTGCACCAAACCCACATGGCCACACATAATGCAGGCCAGGCCTAGGCTAAACAACGTCTAAGTTTGACTTGGAAATAAGAAATTTTTATATGGATATGTGGTATAATATACTAATATGTATATATATATATTTATAATTGACTCAAATTAAATAAAAAAATTTAATTTATAAAATATTATAATTTTATAATTAAGATGGGCAAACTTATCCCTATCCCAAGTCCAAACAAATATTATCAATCTTGGGGTGTGGCCCATTACAATGCCCATAACCCCAAAACCCTTGGTGGTAATAGGATTTTATGATTTTATCCCAAGTCTCAACTAGAACAAGCCAGCGCTTGTACCATTTGATGGCTGGTTCAGGATCAACTTGACTCATGTTCTATACTTCTACTTTACTTTCATGGGTCATGATTAGTTAAGTGTTAGTTTTTGACTTTCATGATGCAAGAGATGTTTCATGAATTAAATGCCTCTTGCAACATTAATATTTTTTGAAATAACAACAAATTTAATTTTAATTAATAGTTATCAGTGTTTTATGTTAATTAAATTAAATTATTAAAAGAATTTTTCTATTAAATTACTATTAGTTAGCAGTGTTTTCTGTTAATTAAATCAAATTATAAAAAGAAGTTTTCTACTAATTAACAATTGTATTAAATATTTTCGTTTAGCAGTAAATTAATTTGAACTAACATAAATATTTTTGAATTTAATGCTAATAATATTTATTGATAATTACCAACAAAATTAACATGAAAAACAATAACAGATAAATGTTAATGCTTTTGTCAACAACAGAAAATTTATAGAAATATAATAACAGAAAATTAGTGGAAAATGATAGAAGATATACTGATTTTATTTTTAACAGTAAATTACTTATTGAAACTTACTACACTTAATTTTTGAATTTACCAATTCTACCAAATAACATGATTTATTTAACAGCAATTTAATAGTAATTTACCATTATATCATTGCTTCAACTGTGTATGTCTCTTGCTTCAATTTCTCTTTAACAGTTTTGCTTTATCAAATACTTAGATTGGATTTTTTTTTCTAGCTTTTTTTTCCCATTGTATAGGCTACTCATTATCTACTTTATACAAATAAGTCCTTAGACTCAGTTTTAAGGAATACAAATGCAAATATGTAGAGTGCAAAACATTGTATTTTGTAGTTTTGTATGTATTTGCACTACACATATTTGTGTTTGTACTCTTTCCAAAATGAGCTTTAGATTCAAAGTTTTATTTCTTCGTTACATTTTTCTTCAATTGTATATTACAACAACAACAACAACAAGTTAATTATTATTATTATTATTATTGTTATTGTTATTATAATTATTGAATATAGTGAATAAATTCAACATTATGCCATTCAATATATCACTGATATTTAACTGTTAATGATATTTATTATTGTCAATTAATTGTATCTTTTCCTATTATGCTATTTAATACTGTCACAAATTACTATTATTTTAATTAAAAAAGTTACCAAAAATTAAATTTTACTATAAATTAGCATAAATTAATTAATTATGCACATATCACTATTAATTAAATAACAGATATTACCAAAAAAATTAAGTAATTAATTATCAGTATTTTAACATTAATGATATGGCCATTGCTTCAATTCTGCATGTCTTGGCTCCTACTTCAATCTCTCTTGAGGCTGTGTTTGGAAACGATGCAAATATGTGTGAATGCAAATATGTAGTGTAAAACGGTTCATATAAATTACAAAGTTGGGTTAGTTTTGCATTGACAAATTTACCTTCTTACCAAATATACTTTTAGCTGTAATGGATGCAAACACAAATTCCAATAAAGCACATGCTTTTTCTTTAGGGATTTTTAGATTGCACTCCACCTCAGAATTCTGATCTGAACTGCAGACCTACAACAATTCAAAATTATAAACACCTCCACCTATAACACCCATACCCTCCTGTGAATTGGCATCAATTCCGAGTTGGCACCTACCCCTAATTGTACGGTGAGTTAGGATTTCTGGGGTGGACTAAATAGTAACCCCCCCCCCCCTTTTTTTTTACCAAAAGCCCACTTCAATGCAAATTTACTTCTTTTTTATTGATGTACTTTTACATTTTATTATCAATGTAAATTGTGCATTGATTTGTCATTTGTCAATGCAAAAATGTAATGTTGTCAAACACAAGCAAAAGTGAACAAGAGTGTAAATTTACCCTTAACCGGGATTTGCACTCTATTTGCATCGTTTCCAAACACAGCCTAAAAGTTTACATTATCCAATACTAAATGTTAAATTTATCACACTTAATATAATTAGTGTATTAATTTAACAGAAATTAATTATACTTTAATTTAAATTTGCATAGATTACTATTAATTAATGAGAAATTGTCTAAAACTTACCATGAGTTTTCAACATTTCTCTTAAATTTACCAGAACTTTTTAAAATGCCTAAAACTCACCATGTCACTAACTTGATGTTAAACAAACTAATGGGTGTTAATATATTACCATTTTAACCTTCATAGAAAAATATAAAATACATATAAAATAAATTAACAGGTGTTAATATATTACCATTTTAATATTTAGACATGAAAAAAAGGAAAAAGTTCAAAAAAATATTTTCAAATATAAAATACATAAAAACATAGAAATTACAAAAAATGTAAAAAATTATAGAAATTGCAAACAAAATAAAAAATATTTTCAAATTATAGAAACTATAGAAATTGAAAAACAAAATCAGAAAATAAAAATTGTAGAAAAACAAAGAAATTGCAAATAAATTACAAAAAATACAGGAAAATTTATAGATTGTAGAAAATAGAAAAAAAATGTAAAAAAACAGAAATTATAAAAACATTGGAAATTATAACAAAACACTAAATATGCAAAAAAAAACAAGAAAATTGAAAACTGAAAAGACAAATTTTCCTCTAACTCACCATTCAAGGGTAATTTGGTCATGAAAATTGTTATTTATGCTGACATGGACACCTCTGTTAAAAAGCATTAATGATGCACTAAAGGAAAGTTAATGTTTGAAAATAACATGGTGAATTTTAGACATTTTAAAAAATTATGATAAATTTAAGAGAAATGTTGAAAACTCACAGTGAGTTTTAGACAATTTCCCTTAATTAATTAACAGACATCATTAAACATTAAGTAATTACCATAAATGGTCAAAAATTAATTAATTCAGTTACCAAGGCAACTACTTCAAAGTCTTCGATCATGGTTTATTATATTCATTTTCATTTACTATTCTGGCAGCAAAAAAAAATCTTATTATTCTATTTTCATTAGCAATAGATTCTTCCCTTCTATTAGTTTGGAAAACATTATTGTTAATTTAGGATTTTCCATTCAGGGTACATTTGATTTACGGGTTTGGAATTAGTCTAAGCACTCGGAATCTAATTCCTCTTTTTGGTAGAATGCATCCCATTCAAGTCAATTTCGATTTGACTGCGAACCAAACGAACCCTCAATCATCATTCCGATTTTAATTTTTTCCTGTGCACCTCGCTAATTAATAACGCTAATAACAGAACAGCACCTAATCAATCACATAAACTGAAAGGAAAGGCGAAAGTGAGTACCAACAAACCACCGACTGAAGCAATGAGAACTGGGAGCTAGCGATGCAAGCATCGGGCGTTCGCTAGCACCTAGCGAATAACACGATTTCTCTAGGAGAGAGAAAAGGTGGCGAAGATAGGAAGAAGAGAACTTGAAGAAATTCTGAAATCTGAAGTATGAAATTGATGAATGAGTTTGGGAAAATAGCAGTATTTATAATACATTTGGGAATTGTAAAAGAACTAGGAAAGAACATGAATCTTGATCTTGATCTTGATCTTCTTGGGCTGTCTTGATAAGGTCGAACCCTCTTGGAATTCTTGGGCTTGATCTTCTACCACCATCCGATCTCTCTTGATCTTCTCCATGCATGAATCTTGGATTATCTAGAATTCTTGAATTCTTGAATTATCTTGGAAGAGTCTTGATAAGCTTGAATTTTTGATAAGTCTTGAGGTCTTGAAAGAGTTTTAATGGATCTTGAATTATCCTTGGCAAAACAACAAAAAAGAAATCCATTTTTTATTGGGGTAAGAGGATGATTTATTGGTTTAGGCCCTAAATTATGCTGATACACGTGCATTGTGGTGGATGTTCTCAGAGTGAACACGTCGAGCAGCTTGTCTCAGGTAACTCTCATCTAGTTCTAGTCTGTGGAAGATGCCGTTTATATGGACAAAGAAACGAAAGACCGCATCAGACCTTGGTCAAGTTAAAAAATGGCGGGTGGGTAAGAAACCTTTCTCTTCTTCTTTTACAGCGGTCAAGAATATATGGAGTTGTTGGATGAAGACGAACTAGCACATGTAATGGATGACGTACAGGCTACAGCACCGATTTTGCGCACAAATGCGATATTAACTTGGCTTTCCGGGAGGAGGAGGAGGAGGAGGAGTGGAGTAGGAGGGGAAGACTCAAGAAGAAGAAGACGACGACCACGATGGCAATGGGGGAGGTCTGGACGGGACTAGGATCGATGGTGGCTGGTTTCATGTTCTTGTGGGCTATGTTTCAGCAATACTTCCCCCACCAGCTGCGAGGCCCTCTTGAGAAATACGGGCATCAATTGAAGTCTCTTGTCTACCCCTACATCCAGATTACCTTCCACGAGTACGGTGGCGAGCGTTTCAAGCGCAGCGACGTCTTCACGGCCATTGATTCCTACCTCACTGTCAATTCCTCCAAGAGCGCCAAGCGCCTCAGGGCCGACATGGGCGAGAACGCTAAGAGTCTCATCCTCTGCATGGACGACCACGAGGAGGTCGCCGATGAGTTCGACGGCGTCAAACTATGGTGGTCTTCCAAAAAAACCATCCCCAAGCCTCAGCCTTTCTCATACTTCTCCGCGCCGGAGGAGAAGCGCTTTTACAAGCTCACCTTCCATAAGCGCCACCGCGACCTCATCACCGGCCGCTACTTGAACCATGTTCTTGAGCAAGGCAAGGCGGTGCGGATGCGGAACCGGCAGCGGAAGCTGTACACCAACAACAAGAAGGCGGTGTGGAGCCATGTTGTGTTCGACCACCCGGCGACATTTGAGACTCTGGCAATGGACCCCCAGAAGAAGAAGGAGATCGTCGACGACCTCATCACCTTCAGTAAAGCCAAAGACCATTATTCCATGATTGGTAAGGCGTGGAAACGTGGGTACTTGCTCTATGGTCCTCCTGGCACAGGTAAGTCTTCCATGGTTGCTGCCATGGCCAATCTTCTGGATTACGATGTCTACGACCTTGAATTGACTGCTGTGAACGATAACACTGACCTTCGGAAGTTGTTGATTGAGACTTCCAGTAAGTCAATCATTGTAATCGAGGATATCGATTGCTCGTTGGAGCTTTCAGGAAGAAGGAATAAGAAAAAGGAGGAAAGGGGAGATGAAGAGAAGCCGGAGCAATTTAAAGAAAAGGAGAGCAAGGTTACACTCTCTGGGCTTCTGAACTCCATTGATGGGCTATGGTCAGCCTGCGTAGGCGAGAGGCTTATCGTCTTTACTACTAATCATGTTGATGAACTCGATCCTGCTCTTATACGAAGAGGACGAATGGACAAGCACATTGAATTGTCTTATTGTTGCTTTGAAGCTTTCAAGATTCTTGCCAAGAATTATCTGGACATTGACGCACACGAGTTGTTTGAAAGAATTGGTCGATTGATGGAAGAAATACTGATAACCCCTGCAGATGTTGCCGAGTATTTGATGCCTAAAACCCCTAATAAAAGAGATGTTGATGCTTGTCTAGAGAATTTGCTCAGAGCATTAGAGGCGAAGAAAGAGGCAGCAAGGTTGAAAGCCAATGAAGAAGTGAAGGAGATAGCAGATGCATTGGCAGGAGAGGAAGGCAAAGGTAAGGTAGAAACCTTGACTCCTAAGGAAGGACTAAAAGAAGATGAACCATTAATTAATACTGAGGTAAAAGAGGCTGAGTCGAGTCCTCATTGAGAGAAAAGAAAGCAAGTAGAGAGGGAGAAGGCAGGAAGTAGCTAGGATTAATGGCATGCCCCATTGCTAAAAAACAGGGGATTTCAGAACTTGTAATATAATGGTCCTAATGGGGATCCTTTCTTTTCCTTTCTCTATTGATCAGTTTTCATGGTGTAAAGAAAAGATATTTCTTATGTTCAATTAACCTCCGTCAGTAAAGGACCTGCAGAAAAAATCAACTAATTCAATACTCCTTAGCTCAACTTCTTGAAGTAGAGGTTTTAACTAGACTTTTCATCTACTGTCCTCAGCATTTAGAACTGTCACTTGCTACTGTTCTTTCTACAGAGTATAGATCACCTTTTGCTACGTCAAAAATGTGTATGTGCACCCATTACTCTCTCTCTCTCTCTCTCTCTCTCTCTCAAACAAATTTATCCATGGTTATTATGAATTATGATTAGACTGGGAAATTACTTTGACATGAATTGGCTTTGTTGCCTCATTTTTTTCTCATCTATCTTCATGTTTTACGTTCAACTCAGTTGTATTTTTATTTTCTTTTTTTTTTCTTTTGTAAAATTTCAGTCATCTGAAGGGTCTGAACCTAACTGGAGTTCTACCTGACAGAATAAATTCTGGGATCTTCTACATTCTTTCCTTTTGAACACAAAGAAAGTTGCTTGATCATCCAAAAATTGTGATTAGATTGTGATGCCCCAAACGACTGTAAGATTTCAACAATTTTTATGTTGGTATGCCCCATATCTGATTATCAGTGGCTTGAGATCCGGGCCATTTTCCTGCCAACAACCATTTAAAATTGAGAAAGACTTTCTCTAAAGCAGAGATCTTAGTCACAACTTCACAACAATGTCAATGGGTTCATATTCTTTTACCTTTTACTGCATTTCTAATTCTATAGCTCTAACAGAACCATTTGATAGGATGACTTGACTGAGCTTATTGTGCATGGCAGATCCCTTCTAGTGGATCAATTCTGGTGGCACTTGCTAGCATTGAAACACTCGAGGAACTGTAAGTTTATGACATAAATGTTTTTGAGGGCCTTGGAAATAAACAACTTGGAGTAAACCTTCCTCAACAAGTCAACAGTTTGGTAATTTAAGCCGGTTGAGGAGACTACATTTATGACTTAATATACAGATTGCGTCTGTAGATGGACTAATTTGTGCATTTGTGATATTTAAGTTTCTTGAATTCAGTTCTGATCATCATCATCATCATCAGCTGCTGCTGCTTTTATCATCTAATTGGGTTGGCAGTATGAATCTTTTTCCTTCATAATGCACCATCTAAACAATATCCTCTTACCAGTCAGGTTCTTTGGCCATCTTATTAGCCTTTTAGAGCTTCAAACTTAACCAAATGATTTCTTTGGTTTTTATTCCAGATACTTGGCATCTGTCTATACTTTTTTGCATCTTTTGCTGATTGTTGTTACCCCAAAGTTCTCTCTAATATACACATTTCTAATTTTATGTATGTTCTATCTCTATTTGTCATCATTGCCATCCATGCCTTATCCCAACTATATGGGATCGGCTACCTGAATCCTGTTTCAGCAATCCGTTCAATTTAAATCCATATCCACTGTTAAATTATTAGTGCTCCAATAATTTGTTACTACTTCTACCCATGTTCTTTTTGTTCTACCCCAAGCTCTTCTAGCCCCCTTCAATGTGTAACAAACCACTTCTTCTAACTGGCGCAGTTGGTGATCTTCTATGCATGTGCCCAAACTATCTCCGTCTACTCTCTCATTTTATCACCTATTGGAGCTACTCCTAGGTTCCTATAGATAGCTCCATTCTTAATCCTATCCTTTCTAATTTTTCCACTCATCCATCATAGCATTTTCATTTCTACCACATTCACTTTTTGGACATTTTGTTTCTTGACTACTGAACACTTTGCTCCATACAACATAACTGGCCTCAGAACTGTTTTATACTTTTATAGAATTTTCCTTTTAAACCAAGTGGTATTCAACTCAGCGAAGCATGGATTGCAACATATTCCATGCAACTCTGCAGCTGTCAATTGCTTTGCTAATTATACCTAGTCTATTAGCCATGCAGTTGCATACTACACCAATTAGAGGAAATTTAAAGAGGCCATCCAAAGAAGTTCATTTTACAAATTGATAAGAACTAGAGAGGAGGACATATATAAACAAAAAGATGGAAACCCTATTTAGGTCAACTCTAAAAACTGTTTGACCTGCAACTATTTCCATAGAGTGATATCCCAGAGTACAGTACTGAAACTCTTGGAAACAACAACACTTGAAAAGTCCCACCCTCATGGCTCTTGAAACCCCTGAAGAAACCCGGATTGTCCAAAGAGAAGACCTCAAAAATTAGTTTGGTTATTCCTTGGACTGGAGGTGACCAAATACCATGTCATGATCCCCTTTCCTGTAAATGAAGAAGATATAGGCTGCCATTGTCTCACTATGTTGTTTGTGTTGATTGCTTAAACTCCTCTCTAGTGCATCATCACCATTAATGTTTCTAATACTATTCTCATAGTGTTTTTTGAACTCATTATATTGCTTTATTACTGCCTCAGTGTTGTTTCTACAAGCAATGTCATGGGGCTGATAGTAGAAACATTTGAAAAACTAAAGAACTTAACAGAATTGTAAGTCAATGCTACTAATTAGAGAGCTGTATCTTTTCAGAACCTGCCAAAAGTTAGGTCTGCATCCAGTCCACCCCTCTCCAGGCCACATATAGCTGGGACCAACATTGGGGTAATGGCCTTATTTTATCTTTTAAAATTCAGATTATATTAGAGAGAATACCTAATTTTGGAATCAGATCAAACTTAATAAGATGATAATACCTTAATTAGTACTTAATCACATGTCAATTTTCTGCATTTGGTGAGTCTATTCAAGATTGTGACAAGAATTATTGCTATCATAAAAATATCCCATACAGGGGAAAAACTATCCTTAATGCTTAAATCAAGGTTCTAAATTTGGAAACTGCAGTCATTTCAGACCATTGATCAAAAAGGAAAATTTTGGATATTTTTTATATATATATTTCAATTATTTTAATATCTATAGTATACTTGTATATGATACTGTTTTTTATTATTTTAAAATATTATTATCCAGAAATCCCAAATATGTCTGATATCTTCCATAGTTTGTGTTGGTGTCTGTTTTTTAACACCTAAAACATCAAAACAAAATTATGCGTATATTGCCCACCAACATCTCAGTTAGTGTACAAACGGTGTGCCATCACCTGGTAGCAGCAGCATCCCCTGTCCCAGTAAGAGGAGATCATGAACTCTGTTATTCTGAGTTTCAGGCTCGTCAGAAAGCTGAAGCTTCCCTTATAGTCCAGCTTAGCCTTTCAGCAAGGAGTACTTCCAACTTGGTAACAAATAGAGCTCTAGGGGTGGTTATTTGATAACAGTTGAAGTGGCTCAACTTAATGACTTATTGCTTTGTCTTTTTAGTGTATAATTTTTTAATATAACTGAATTTGGATTCATTAATGCATCCTTCAATATTTTATTGTTTAATTATTTTAATAACTATAAGACAAAGAGTGTATGACCCATTGTGTATTTTTCACTTATGTGGCACATGCATGGTTCGAGAACCTTCATGTCTTCTTTGTCCATGATGTATTTTGCCTTGAGCTCCCCACAACCTCTCTCTTTCTTTCTGTCTCCATATACCGGTAGGGGTGTTCAAGAAAAATCGAAAAACCGAATTGAAAAAATCGAACTGGAAAATGTGGTTAATCGAACTGATCGGTTCGATATTTTTTCAAAACTAAAGGATAGGTTTGGTTTCGGTTAACTTATAAAAAACTGGTGGTTAATCGAACAGAACGGTATATATATTTATATGTATATTATATATATTTTTAATATATGTCACATATTTTCTATATATTATATATTAATATATATTCATTATATATATATATATTATATTTATAATAGTTTATTTATAAATATATTATATATTTTTATAATATATTATATATCATTTATTATTTATAATATAATATTATAAATATAAAAAACCAAAAAATTGAAAAACTGAATTGGTCAGAAAACCAAAACCGATTAACCGGTGGTACTAGTTCGGTTTACTAAAACTGCCCATGGTAACTTAACCGTGGACACTCCTATATACCGGAACCCTTTTCTGTGTCTCCCATTTGAGCATGCAAGTGCTTTGCTATGAGTTCGGACCTGCTGACCACGATACATTGCTGGTCACGTGCATCCTACTATACATCGGGAACATTAATTGTACTTTACCTCACCAATGTTCTCGATGTGTGGCAGGATGCGCGTGGTGAGTAATGTTTTGTGGTCAGCAGATTCGGACTCCTTCGCTATTGCATTTTGAGTTGTAATTCTCCCCGTTGCTCTCTTGTCCGTTGTATGATATTGTTCTTGCTTCATCTTTGTCCCCGTTGGTTGTCATTTTTCACATTGTGGCTACTTTTGGTTGGACTACTGTGACTGCATGTAGTTTTTGTCATTTTCTCTATCGGTGGTTGGCCAACTGCTACTACATTACGTTCTTTGGTTTTTGTTTGTTGACAGTTGGGTTTGGGATTCCCAGATGTGTAAGGTCTTTGGGTTTGGGATTCCTCGCATTTCTTATTAACGGTTTGTTCATTTTATTTGTGCGAGGGTTACCAGTGATGGTGGCTGTATGTAAGTTCTAAATCATTCATAGCAAAGGTAGGGATGCAAATGGATTCGATTGGATTTGAATCGGTGCAAATGAATCTGATTGAATTTGAATCATGGTATATCTGAATTCGATCTAATACTATAAATTATAAATTTGATTTGATCTAAAGATTCAATCAGATCTTACAAACATTGATTTAAATTCGAATATGGTTCAATTCAATTTATTTTATAAGTTTAATAAATTATTAAAAGAAAAATAAAATATATCAGTTTATATAAAAATAAACAAAAAAGACAAGTATTTTTTCAACTATTTTTTATCAGATATATACATCTTTTTATAAAAAAATAAATAATATAATAAAATTACAAAATACAATATAAATATATTTATAAATAATATATATATATATATATATATATATATATATATATATATCGGATCAGATAGGAGGTGAGCTAAATTCAATTCATTTTTTAATCGGATCCTATTA